GTTTCAGAGTGTGTGGAGGAAGGTAGAATTCCCACTGAATAGTTTCCATCTTATCTGAGTATGTCTGGTGAAAGGAGATGGGGATCAGATTCTTATGATTCAATAGTGAATAACTGTTATCATAACTATTGTGATTCTCACAATCGTAAAGGTAGAAGTTTTGTAACAAGAAGTGAGGAATAGTTAATTTTACAGTCCAGGAACAGAGGACCCTAAGATCATCAAGGGAATAGAGCATGAGTGGAATGTGGAACCCTATCCAGAGAAGCAACGGCACCAGAGATGGAGGAAGAGATGATGACATGGAGAGATATAGCACCCGAGGACTGTAGACTCATGGAAAGAGAAAGGCTGTGTACTTGTGTCCAGGAGGCAGGCTTGCAGAATGTACCCTTTGGTCGTTAAATTATTGTATATTCCTGAGTGTTTTTGAGTGCATCTAAAAAAATAAAAATGAAACAGAGGGAATAGAAGCAAATATTGTTGAATGATGATGCACTGAGGGGATTGTAATCATTGCAATGAAATGAAATACAATAGGATGTGTGTAAAACCAATGTTCTCCCATGTAACCTATCATTCAGTTCACAATAAAACTTTTTTTTAAAAAAAAAGCGTATTATTTTTTAATGTAAAGCTGATGATCATGTCTGTAAACCTTCACTCAATTCACAATAAAAAGTTTAAAAATATATATTGCTTAGAGGAAAACGTTTTATAATTCTTTCTAATGATTTTCTGAAATGACAGCCCATGTAAAAATGTTTTGAACCATTTGCTGTTTCAATGTGTATTTAGGTTAAAAATGAGATGTTGTATGTGTGTTTCTTTTTTTTTTTTTTAATGAAGAGCATTACTCTTTGAAATAATTATATAGATAACACTTAGATCTAAACTACAGTACTTTTCTTCTTGCTTTCTCAGGTGCCAGTTCGTCAGATTCTGACAGTGAAAGTTTAACTTTCAAATCAAAACCTGGAGCTATGCCACAGTAAGTGCCTACATGCCATCAATTATCTCTACTGCAAAGAATGTCAGCAGAATTGTTGGGGTATGACACCATGAATGCTGTGCTTCAAAGGCAAAGGTCAACTGATGTCAATCAAATATTTGAAATTGAGACACAATTTTTAACCTATAAATTTGAACTTTGAAGTCTTCATTTCATCATTAATATGCCAAAACCTAACCATATGCAATGTTAGTTTCAAAGACAACTATCTAGCTGATTAGAAATATATAAAAGGAGCAGTTCTACTAAAAAATATAATTAGTTATATTATTATTAAAATGCAAATGAGGACCAATTTATTTACACATAGTGAAAAATATCTAATTAGGCAAGAAATACATTTCCATCTGGATAGTCTATTTCTAATCAGACTTTGCACAAGAAAATCACAAAAGTTAGTTCTTCCTTCAAAGACATATGGACTATTAGTAAAATGTTAATATCTTAATTATTTTGCAAAACTAAAATCTGCTAGAAATTTTCAGAAAAACCCATTGGTATGGTTTAAATTAAAAAGTTTAAACTAATAAATTCCTTTGACTGCTTATATGTATATATGCATATATATATATATATGGCTGTTATTTCTTGTTGGTAACTCATAGTGACCCTGCACAGGGTTTCTGAGGCTGTAAATCTTTATGGGAGCACAATGCCTCATCTTTCTCCCAATATATGTATAATATATGTTGTTATTAAGTTAACTCTGACCATAGCATTCCGAGGAGCAGCTGGTAGGTTTGAACTGCTAACCTTGTGGCTCACAGTCCAATGCTGATCCTACAGAGCCACACCAGGATCCAATATATGTATACATAT